AAAAAAAAAAAAAAAAAGAAAGTTTTGATGTGCTGATACTTCCTAAATGGCAACAGCTACAAGTTAAGGTAAATAAGATATTAAATTGGATTTAATATAATTAAAACAGTACAAAGGAGTCTCATCCATATGCATATGTAACTTAAACAAATTCAATTATATGCCATGGGCCAAAGATCTAATGATCAAAAATAATTTAAAAAAAATGTGACTCTTAAATGTAACCTAGATACTTTATCTGGTGACTTAAGTAAAGAGACAGATAAATACAAAACTGTATACTCAACTTTATAGGTGATCTAAGAGATTTTCAAGGGTAATTTTGACTGTATTTGGGTTTCATTTATGCCATGACTTTAGAACTCAACCCTGAGCAAGATGGAACTTCAACATCTCTAGCACAGAGTGTTTGGCTGTAAAAACCAGATAATCTGTTTTGGTTACTTGTTCTTGAAGTGTCCAAATCCAGTTTTCTTTTTTGTAAAATGGGAACACTGGGAGTAATGATGGTTAATTTTACATGACAACTTGGCTGGGCCACAGTGCCTAGATATTTGCCAAAGATTATTCTGGATGTTTCTGTGAAGGGATTTTTTTTTTTTTTTGGATGAGACTAACATTTAAATTATTGGACTTGAATAAAGCACATTACCCTCCATAATGTAGACTGGCCTTATCCAATCAGTTGAAGGCCTTAATAAAACAAAAACTGACTTCCCCAGAGCAAGAAAGAATTCTGCCAGCTGTCTGTTTTTGGACTTGAACTGTAATTCCTCCTGAGTCTCCAGCATGCTGGCCTACCCCATCAGATTTTTGGACTCGCCATACCTCCACAATTGTGTGAGCCAATTTCTTAACGTTAATCTCTCTCTCTCCCAGAAAGGGGGGAGAAGGGAGAGAGAGAGGAGAGAGTATGGTATAGTGCTAGATAAATGGCTGCTGTTATCTACCAAATGTCTAATCTTGTCTCTATAGTCATGATCCCAGAGGCTGTTTCTTTTAGACCAGATCTAATTTCTAGTTGAACCTGAAACCCAGGCATTCAGACACTTCCAGGAAATCTACTTTCCTTCACCCCTTCTCAGTTCCCAAACATGTTAGAAAGAATAATGAGCTTCAGTTCTGTAATGTTTACCAGGTATTCAATACTATTATGGCCCAAAATTAGTACCTAATTTTCCTCATAACTGGCCTGTTTTAATACCTGCATTGAGCCATCTCCTGAATTAAGTTGGACCTCCAAGTTGTTTATGAGTTGATCCATATCTGGAAAAGAGACAAGGGAAAGATAACTTTTAGAATAAGATTTAACCCACTAAATACATACTATATGACATTTACCCTTGGTTACACCTATATGTGTTCTATGAACACTATTTTAGGACTTACTAGATACTGAGAATCCATTGATATATTCTGATTTATTCTGCTCATCAAGACAGCCCTGACTTGTCCCCAAGAATACTAGCTGCCCCCTACTCCCAAACTCTGTATGCAGGTAAATTCGTTACTTCCAACCTCTCCAACCTGCTCTACCTCCACAGAAATATCAGCAAACTACATAGTTCCCAGAATGCTCTTTTCCATCTAGTTCTTGCTCTAAGGATTTCCAAGCTCCTGTATGGATATTTACCCCATTGAACTTATTTACACATCAGGGACAGTTCTAGAGAAACATTTTATCTGTCCATCTCTCTTAAACCTACAAGCCAGGCGGGGTTAAGATAAACAGTCTTTTCATTTTTTTTAGATAGCTTTTTTTCCTATGAAAGGAGGGACTTCGTGGCCTCATTCTGTTGCCTTAAACTATCACAGTCATTCCCAACAAAAACACCTACCAGTTTTCCTCTTCAACCAGATTTCCTTTGATCCACCTACAGTCCAATCTCATTGTAGAGGAGAACATAGGGTAAGGACACTGAATTGACAGCTTAATTATGACTTGATTGGTTAGATTTCAGATCACACTGTCACCAAGTCAATTACAGTTAGTTCCCTCACTTATGATCTGGTAGCATTTCAAAAGGAAGTCCATAAATCAGTTCATTGCTTGGGATGTCCAATAGAGATATTCACTTTAAAGGTCACATCTCAATAGCTATTTAAGACATAAGGAAGTTAAAATACAACAAATGCCCAATCAGCAAGGACACAAAATTATAGTATAGCAATACAAAAAAAGTAACAGATAAACCTAAAAACAATTCCTTAATTTATTGAATGCCAGGAATTGAGGAAAACATTCCTAATTAGAGGGCAATAACACACAAGGAAACTTTGAGGAGGATCATGAGGAAGACCTCTGAGCCAATATCAGAGTTTGGAGAATTTTTACACTTTAAAGTATCTCCAATTTTATTTCATTTTTAATTTTTGTTATTGTTCATTTATTTATGTTTGGCCACAAAACAAGTCTTAATACATTTAAAAAGGCTAAGATCATAGAAAATATGTTCTCTGACCACAAACATGACGAAATTTAAAAAATTTACAAATGTGTGGAAATTAAATAACTCTCTTAAGTAAACAATGGTAAAAAGAAAAATCACAGGGAAATTAGAGAGTACTTTGAGATAAAATCTAAAGCACATCTTATCAAAATTTATAGGATGCTGGCCTCATGCAGTGCTTGGAGGAAAATCTATACTTGTAAACACTTATATTAAAAATAGAAAAATCTCAAATCAGAAATGTAAACTTCTACCTTAAGAAAATAGAAAAAGAAGAGCAAACTAAACCAAAAGCAAACGTAAGTGGGAAATAACAAGGATTAAAACAGAAATATATGAAATAGGAAATTTAAAAAAAAATAGAGAAAATCAACAAAACCAAAAGTTGGTTCTTTAAAAAGCTCAACAAAATTTGCTAACCTTTATGTAGACTTACCAAGAAAAAAAGAGAGAAAACCAAAATTACTAAAACCAGAAATAAAGCAGGGGCATTATTACATTGTCATTATGGTTTTCTGTGATAGTAAGATTTAATTTCTTTCTCTTTCTCAATTGCATTTTTGTTTTACTGGTGGCTTTTGTTCTTTCTTGTGTATTCGTGTTAATGATTATTGTTTTTTGAATTCCAGGTGCAGGACTACCTTGAGGATATCTTGTAGGGCTGGTCATGTGGTGGTGAATTCCTGCAGTTTTTATTTGCTTGGAAAATACACTATTTTCCCTCATTTATGGAGTATAGCTTTGCTGGGTACAGTATTCTTGGCTGGCAGTTTTTTTCTTTTAGTATTTCGAATATATTGTCCCATCTTCCTCTGGCACATAGAGTTTCTGTTGAGAACTCTGCTGTTAGTCTGATAGGGAGTCCCTTACAGGTGACTTGATGCTTTTCCTTTGCTTCTTTTAAGATTATCTCTGTCTTTGAGCTGTGCCAGTTTGACTATAATGTATCTTGGACAGGATCTTTTTGGATTGAATCTGTTTGGGGATCTTTGAGCCCCCTGGATCTGAAGGTCCATGTATCTCCCTATTCCTAGGAAGTTTTCTGTTACTATTTCATTGAATGGGGTTTCCCTGCCTTTTCTTTTCTCCTCCCTTTCTGGAGCACCAATGATTCAAATGTTTTTGTGCTTAAGTCTGACTTCTAGCTCTCTTAGATTTTCTTTATTTCTTAATTTTTTTTTCCTTTCCATCTGGGTTATTTTGAAAAGACTATCTTCAAGATCAGAAGATAGTCTGATCTTTTTTTTTTCTGCTTGTTCTAGCTTGCTGCTTAAGCTCTCAGTTGTGTTTTTTACTTTGTTGAGTGAATCCTGAACTTCCATGCATTCTGCTACATTCTTTTTTAAGGTATTAATCTCTTCATAAACTTCTTTCATATCCTGGATTTTTTTCTCATTTCACTATGTTGTCTGAATCTTCTCAGTGGGTTTCTTTAAGATTGTTGCTCCAAATTCCTTTTCAGTCTTTCAAGGGTTTCCTGCTCTACAGGGTCTTGTATTTAAGAATTACAGTATTCTTTTGGAGGTGTCTTCTTTTCCTGGATTTTTGTATTTCTATTTCTCTACATTGATGTCTGGTCATGCAGTAAAAGAGTTGCTTCTTCTATTACTCTGGAGTGAGCCTCAAGGAGAGAGACATCCTATTCTTTTTCTGGTCTCTGCTGGTGACTATCCTTGTGTCAATGCAGTAGAGTGTCTGGTGAACAACCTGCACCATAGCTGTGGCTACTGCTGTGGCACTGAGTCACTTTTGCAGCAGCCATGGCCAAGGTGGTGGCTGTGGAGGGCCACCCATGTGGAGGAGGTATTTTGGGTGTGCTCCTTAACTGCTTCTGGGTGGTGGATGCTGCCCTCAGATCCTGCCTAGGTCCCTAGGTGTGTTCTGCTTCTTGTCTGCTTCCAGGCAGAGGGGGCTGTCCTTGGCTCCTCATCTTTGGGCACACTCTGTTTCTTGTCTTTTTCCAAGCCTCCATTTTTACTTCAAAACTCATGGCTTTTCTCTTCTTTCGTCCATGTAAGTGAATAGAACTGTTCACATATACATCCATTCACTCACCAAAGATTTATTGCATAATTACTATGTTTCAGAGGTTGTACTAGGCACATTACTATCAGTTTGGGCTCTGGGCCAAACAGACTTGTGGAGAGTAGCAGAGAGCACTGACATGGGAGTTAGGTACTCAGGAATAAAATCCTATAATCTTTGGCAAGGCCTATCTCCTTCTAAGCCTTAACTTGTCCACATAAAGTGAAAGGATTTCAATTATCTTTTGCAGAGTCCTAAGGCTTTCATGAAGCCTCTTGGGTGTGGGGTTAATGGAAGAAGGAGCATAGTAAGGAATAAGAACAATAGAGGCCTCAATGAAGGAAAATCTCATTTCCAACAGAATTTAACCTCCTTGCAGGAAGATATTTTTTATCTCTGTTTATTTCCACTGATATATTCCAAGGGCCTAGAACATTGCCTGGTACATGGTAGGTGTTGAATACATTTCTTTTCTTCCTTCTTTTTAAAAATTGATTATCCATATTCATGGTGTACAAAGTTGACCATCACCACATGTACCCAAGATGTGATGATCAGATCAATACCATCAGCATGCCTACTACCACAAATTCCAATTATTCCTAATGTCCCACACCCAATTAATCACCAAACTTCCTATTCCCCACTCTCCCCATAGCCCTAGGTATGCTCTCTCTTTCTGGAAGTCCAATGAATCACTGTGGTCTTTCTTTCCTTCCTTCTTTCTCTTAGCTCCCACTTATGAGTAAAGACATGTGGTAATGGTAATTTTCCTTCTGTGCCCGGCTTATTTAACTTAACATAATTTTCTTCAAGCTTATACATGTTGCTATGAATGGGAGAAATTCATTCTTTTTTTTGGCAGAATAGTATTTCATGGTGTATATATACCATTTTCCTTATCCAATCATCTACCGATGGACATTTAGGCTGGTTCCATATCCTGGCTATTGTAAATAGAGCTGCAATGAACATGGGAGTGCAGGTATCCCTTCAACATGATGATTTCCACTCCTCTGGGTATATACCTAGAAGTGGGATTGCTGGAATATATGGTAGAATTATTTGTAGTAATTTGAGAAACCTCCATAATGTTTTCCATAATTGTTGTACTAATTTACAGTACCACCAACAGTGTAGGAGTGTTCCCCTCTATCTACATCCTCAGCAGCATTTGTTATTCTCTGTCTTCTTAATTTCAGCCAGTCTCAGTGGGGTGAGATGTTGTTTCAATATGGTTTTAACTTACATTTCCCTGATGATTAATGATGTTGAGCATTTTATTTTCAGTGCCTGTTGGCTATTTGTATGTTATCCTTCAAAAGGTGTCTATTCAGCTCCTTTGCCAATTTTTTAATTGAGTTATTTGGTTTTTTACTGTGTAGTTATTTGAATTCCTTGTATATTCTGCATATTAATCACTTCTCAGATGTACAGTTTGCAAACACTCTCCCCTTCTGTAGGCTGTCATTTCACTCTGTTGATTGTTTCCTTTGCTGTGCATAAGCTTTTTAGTCTGATATAATACCGTTTATTTTTTCTTCTGTTGCTTGTGCTTTCAGGCTCATGTTCATAAAATCTGTGCCCAGATCTAGTTCCTGAAGTGTTTCCCCTATATTTACCCTTAGTAGCTTTACATTTTCAGGTCTTCTACTTAAGTCTTTCATCCATTTTGAGTTGACTTTGGTATATGGTGAGAGGTGCAGGACTAGTTTCATTCTCCTGCATATGGATGTCCAGTTTTCCCATCATCATTTGTTGAAGAGGCAGTCTTTTCCCCAATGTATGT